CAGGGTTTACAGTTTAGGGGTTGCGGTGTGTTTTCGACCTTTGGGCTGAGGGCCCTCAACCCTAAACCCTAAAGTTGGGGGTACGGGATGTGGGCCCTTCCAGCACCTGCCCTTACTTGGAGAACCACCTCAATACACGCATACAGGCTCAACCCGCAGCAAGTGTCTAAATTTGTAAGCACGTAACGTAGATGCCCTAAACAGACATAGTCGCAGACCAAGCATAGCAAGCAAATTCATGGGTACGTTAAACAGACATAGTTAAACAAAACACAGAAATGCAAATAGACATGAAAACGTAAACATGCACTTACGTAGGGGCACGACCTTTACATCCATAAACAGATATGTAGATGGATATAGACATATAATATACATATATATATACATATATATATATATATATCTGCATTTAGCTATATTTCTTATAGTACATGCCCCCCAGCCCCAACCCCTCCACCCTCCCAAGCTCTCTACGCACCGAATTGATCCCCAAAGTGTGCGTTAGCACTAAGGGGCTTAAACGTTCAGGGCAAGAGGGGCTAGATCGAGCTGTTTCGTTCGCGCGCGCGCTTCCGCCCCGCCCGCTGCGAATCATGTGCTCTTCTCGAAGCTTGCTCGACAAATTCGCCCGTGCCCGTGCTCGCCTGGAAACTGTCATCATTTGCTTGCTTCTTTTTGCGCGACATCTGAAAGAAATTGTTGTCGATTTTGGACGTCTGGGCTTGCGAAATTCGAAGCTGTCATCGCGTTTGGAGGTGTGGGCCTACATGATCTCTGACTATTTCGGGTCTATGCTTGCATCAAGTGTTGCTTACTTATTGTCATGAATGTTTTTGATCGGCGCGTATTGCAGTTTTGGCTTCCATGCTTCTTGCACCCCCGAAATGTCCAAATGCTTAGGCTCTAGGCAGCCAGGGGTGATTGGGTGAGCCGAGCCAAGTCCCAAATTGTGCTTTTCCCTAGCAACTAGCTGACCTTGAAACTTTGCGGTTCCGTATCCGGCATTGGAGAAGTAAAGTTAAGCTAAGTCCCATCTTTTGTGTACATGCCAACTAGAAACCAACCAAATAGATGTCGCAAGGGCATGTTTGAGCAAGACCATCACAGTCAATTAGCACGTTTCGATTTAACTCCGGGCAAGCTGACCGTTTTCGTGAGTAGTGAGTCATTCTCACCTTGACATCCCACCGTCCGCAGGACTTGTCTTCCGCGGTTGAAATCCAAACTCCGGTGCGCACGCAGGAAAAGCGGAAACTCACAACACGAGGCATGCATGGAGGAGGGCTTACCAGAACTAAAACAAACAAACAAATTCGAGAGAGAGCGAGAGAGACAGACGGAGAGCCGAATACCCCAAACCCTAAACCCTAAACCCTAATCATTTCTTTTGCTCGAAGGTCCAGGTTCTCATCTCTGCCTTCATGTCCGCCAGCGCGCTGCCCTGGAGCCAGAGCTTCTCCCAGACGTGGCTGGCCACCAGCACGTTCCGCGAGCTGGCCGTGCGTTGGGAGGACCCTTATACTAACAGTCCTTAAGAAGGGTTTAGGGTTTAGGGTTTAGGGTTTAGGGTTTAGGAGGACCTATCCTGAACCCCAAACACCAAGCCCCGCAAGTCGATCGAACCCACCCCCAAACCCCAAACCTAAAACCCTGAACTAAGCGAGGGGTTTGGACCTTTGTGGGACCTACTCGGGCCATACCTTGGCAGTGAGACTTGTTCGGGACATCCCATTCTCTTCTCTAGAGCCTGCTTAAACCCTAAACCCTAAGCCCTAAACCCTAAACCCTAAGCCCTAAACCCTAAACCCTAAGCTCCTTAAAAAGGGCGGGGGCCCTGCAAGGCACCAGCTTCTCCGATGCAGATTTGTTTGCTTTATTGCCCTTTAAAGGCTTAAGCGGGTTTAGGGTTTAGGGTTTAGGGTTTAGGGTTTAGAGTTTCCAAAGTTCGAAGCCTCAATGGCTACCATCTAATTCTCTTCCTAGCCAAGTGTGCTCCCTTGGGACCCTCCCAGAGCGCTTCCTGCGTTTCGTGGCGTCTCCGGGACTTGTTCGGGGCCTCAGGGGCCGAATGCCAAAATTACACAGCTGGGCCTGGCACGCCGGGGTTTAGGGTTTAGGGTTTAGGGTTTAGGGTTTAGGGTTTAGGGAAATTGACAACGGCCACACAAGCATCGGCGTACGAACAAGATCAAACAAGATCAACCTGAAGCAAACCCTGAAGCTTACTAGCGAATAGCGAAGGGTGGCCGGGGTGGGCTGACAAGCGACGTGAGCACGTGGACTGGGGCGCTCACGCCCGCGTGTGACACTTCCTCAGCCCCAAAAATCCCCCCCCCCCCCCTAAACCCTAAACCCTAAACCCTAAACCCTAAGCCCTAAGCCCTGAACCCTGAACCCTAAACCCAACAAAAACCGCCCCGCAAGGAGCTCGAGGCACAGGCCCACGCCCAGGTCCTCTTTGTCATAGTTTGGGTAACATTTTTCATTTCTAAGGGTACTTAAAACCCAATAAGGAATAAACCTTTTAAGCTTTTAATATTATCCTTAAGGGTACTTAAACCCAACAAGGAACAAACATTTTAAACTTTTAACATTTTCCCAACCATGAACTAGAGGTTTTACATTTACAAGGGTACTTAAACCCAATCAGGAATAAACCTTTTGAACTTTTAATGCCATCCCGACCATGAACTGGAGGTCTCGGTGGGGCTGGAAAGGCTCCGGGTCAAGTGCCGTCCGGTCTTCCAGAACCTCCGCGCCTTGGCCTCGAAGTTCCCGGACGTCGCGGAAGTCGTCGAGGTGGTCAATGAGAATCTTAGAGTAGCAGAGTATTTGTTTTTTTTTTGTTTAACCTTTTTTCGGTAGTATAACCCCTATAAATTCCCAAACCTTAAACCTTTTTTGGGGCAGTAGAATCCCTATAAATTCCCCAAAGGCTAAGCTTGAGCTCCCCTAAAGGTTACTGGGCAGCTAAGGAATTCGGCTAGCGGCTCGCGCTCCATGGAGTAATCATGGCAGCGCAGCAGCGATGCCGGCAACTAGGAGCCAAACGTCGACAGTTTATTGTGTTTTCGATTTGTTTCTATTTTTTAAGGGGGCTATAGGGCTAGGGGTTCCCTCATGAGCACAAGACTGTACCTTCTTGTATTCCACCCTAAACCCTAAACCCTAAACCCTACACTCTACACCCTACACCCTAAACCCTAAACCCTAAACCCTAAACCCTCAACCCTAAACCCTAAACCCTAAACCCTAAGCCGGGTTACCCTTCGACCTATGGATGAAGATCCAGCAGCTAGAGGTGCTTGTCAGTCGATCTGAAGTGTGCAGCTGTGGCTCAGCAGGGAGGTTCCGTGTCGGCTTCGGAACAAAGGGTTTAGGGTTTAGGGTTTAGGGTTTAGGGTTTAGGTGTAAACCCAAGGTTTAGAGTTCAGGGTTTAGTGTTTAAGGTTTAGGGTCGTTAGGGTGTAGGGTTTAAACTCCAGCCAACTGTGGATCATGGGCATGCGCCAGGTGCTTGCAGCTGACTTTCGATTGGTCAGTTTGGCTCCGTGATGTTGCCATGTTTCAAGTTTGAAGCGCTCTCTGCAGAACCACGGCAGCCAGGCAAGCATCAGTACGCGTGCTTGTGCGCACACGCGTGTGCGTGCGCGCTTGTCTTATATGCATATTATGCATATGTATATCTAAAACCCCGACGCCTGAACCCCAAAAACCTTAAGCACTAACCCCTAACCCCGCAACCACACCCACGCCACAGGGGGGGGGGGGGGGGGGGGGGGGGGGGCATAACCTTAAACCCCAACCCCCCAACCACACCCACACCAAAAGACGGGGCGTGGGGGGTTGGGATTCAAGGGAGGGGGGGTACCATGGGGGGGGGGGGGGGGGGGGGGGGGGGGGCAGCCCGAGACCACATATATGTATCTGTATATATATATACACACATGCGTGCATATGCATGCGTACTTTGAGATACACCTACCTATCTGCCGGTATGTCAATCTATCAATTGATCTATCGATCGGTATATACAGACCTATCATTCTATTCAGTTTATGTTTGATCGCTTTTGAGTGGACGCAAGGTAGCAGAGTGAAACAACCCCATGATTTGAGGCAAATGATCTCATCTACGTCTTCCAATCTATCTGACTGTGCCAGATGATCAGTGCAGAAAGGGGCAATATCCGTCCCGAGAATCCGTCCCGAGTGGCGTTGCCACCGACGAGCGGAGTGAATCCTGCTTTGTCGAAGGCATGTTCTAGGTATGTCCTTCAGATATTGTTCATTGTCTTCTATTGGTTGGGTTTACGACGATGGTATGTAACAACATTTTCTAGCGGAACACTACCACTACAGTACCGCCAATCATTCTGACGTCAGCCCGGGGCTTCTGTTCGAACGGGGGCCCAGCGCGAAATCCGACATTGCATGCGAACTTGTCATTTGTGCTTCCATGCGCATGAAGAGGCAGCCAATTTTAAAAGAGATTTCGGGACTTCCCGAAGATAGTCGCTTCCAGCCGTTCATGCGCGTGCCCGCTTTCCCCTTCGGATCTGGGCTTCCTTGTAATTGTACAGGGCCGAATCGCCAATACACATTCATTCAATCCATCTAATGATCCAGTGCGTTGGGCCTGTGAAGGGTCCTCGGTGTGCAATGAGTACAAGAAAGCTTGTGGATGTACCTGGTGCTTGAGTATACCTGCGTGTAGCCGCTCTTGAGCTGAGTACTCGCACACTGGCACAGCAAAATCCTTAATTCATCCAAATGCATCCTGACTGCGAACACGCGGTCCATTTCAACGTCTTTCTGCTATCCGAAGGCAAAAGCAAGTCCATTCCGGCCCCATGCCACCTACACAAATCTTTGAAGTACTTCCCAAAGCATGATGGGGGCACGAGTGTTTACGATTTCGAGGTACATGAGCTTCATGGGGCATGCCAGGGCTCTTTTTTAATCTCACTATCCACATTAGGGTTTGGGGTTTGGGGGTTTAGAAGGGTTAGGGTTTAAGGGGCTTATTAGGGGGTCTCTAGAGTTTATATATGTATATACACAAACCCTAAAGACCCCCTAAACCCCCTTAAACCCTATACCCAAAACCTAAAACCTAAAGCCTAAACACCCGGAAAAAAACACAAAAGAACTGGAAGTGAGCTGCGAGGCCCACGGCCTACATTGCGTCGCTGTCGTTTCTCCCGGTGGCCGCGAGCTCGAGTCCTTCCAGACTTTTCGCGTTTCCCAATTACGGTTTAGGGTTTAGGTTTTATGGTTTAGGGTTGAACAAATATATATATATATGTATATATAGATACATTTTTCGCGGTCTTAGGGATTAGGGTACATATGTATATACTTATACATATATATATATATACAATTTATTTAACAATTAGATCAGGGCACTTGTTTGGGGAAGGGGAAGGGGGGGATCTGATCCCATTGCTTAATTGATCATCAATTAAACAATGAGATGAGGGCACTTGCTTGGGAAACGGGGGGGGGGGGGGGGGGGGGGGGGGGAGGGGTGGAGGTTGGTAAGGGTTGGGTTTCGGGCTTTGGTTTCATGAAGCCTCGGGCTACATGTAGGGTATAGGGTTAATCCTTAAACCCCAAACCCTAAACATCCCCGCTCATATAGGCCCACAACCCCTGTAACCCTAACCCCTGCACCCTTGAACCCCTACCTCTAAGCTCCATGCCGCAGAAACCCCAAACACTCCACCTCGAAGGCCCTCACTGCTTTGACCAAACCTCCCTTGTGGGTTTAGGGTCTAGGGTTTCGGGTTTAGGGTTTAGGCTTTAGGCTTTAGGGTTTCGGGTTCAGGGTTTAGGGTTTAGGGTGTAGAGGGTTTCGTGGTTGAGGGTTCAAGGTTTGGCCCTGAACCCTCAACTTGGGATGCTCCCCCTTATACTGACAGTCCTTGATAGGGATTACAGTACCCCCGATTATAACCCCGATTAAGGACTGTTGGTAAAAGGGGAGCATCCCAACCCTCAACCCTAAACGGTAGAGTTTATGAGGCCTGAGCCCTGGCCCTGAGGCAGCCACCCTGGCGCAGTTTTGGATGGGATGGCAGGTGTCCAGCTGAGGTTCCAGGTGGCTGGGGGGGGGGGTGGGGGTTGGGGTGGGGACTTGAAGAGAGGGCTCATTGTTGCTCAGGTAAACCCTAAACCCTAAACCCTAAACCCTAAACCCTAAACCCTAAACCCTAAACCCTATAAGGGTCAAGGCTTTAGTCTCGGGTTTAGGGGTACTTGGGTTTACAGGGACGACGCTATCCAAGGCCCCCCTAGAGCCGAGTATCAAGGACCAACGCCAGGGTCAGAATGTGGGCCACCGAAACAGAAAGCACTTGAGGGTTTAAAGGGCTTAGGAGTTTCAGGACTTAGGTCTTCAGTTCTTGCCTTTTTCACTCACTGTAGCCCCCAAACCCTATAAGTTTGTTTTTAAACTCTGAGCTCAGCCAACAGCCCGGAACGCCACTGAGAGACACTGCTGCTAGAACAAATCATGCAAAGGTGATGTGCGCCACGGATTCTTTGCAGGCGCCCGAGAATCCCAAATAGGGTTATTCGGGGGGATCGAAGGTGCTGTAACCGATTCCCTAATTGCTGTTTAAGAACGAGTAGGTAGAGGGCTAAACCCTAAACCCTAAACGGTGTAGGGTTTAGGGTTTAGGGGTTCGGCTCAGCACGAATGGCCCGGACTAATCTCTCATTCAATCGATCAGAAGTTCACTTATTCTCATGACTGAGGGACTGTGTGGGGGTGACCTTCAACCTTTTTCGTTATATAAAATCTTACCTTCTGGGAAAGGGTTAACCTGTTTTGGCTAGGGTGTTCAACCCCTGAGAGGAGCACTTGGCCTAGCTCACTAGTGCTTAGTAGACCATGTAGTGAAGTAAGTTCTTTATTTAAGTCAGGCTCTACACTCTAGCCCCCCAAACCCCCCAAAACCCCTCCCCCCCCCCCCCCCAACCCTCTAAACCCCAAACCCCAAACACGAACCCCAAACCCTCAACCCCAAACACACCAAACCCTCAACCCTAAACCCCAAACCCTAAACCCCAAACCCCAAACCCCAAACCCTAACCCCCAACCCTCAACCCTAAACACGAAACCCCAAATCCTGAACCCCGAACCCTACACCCTAAACCCCAAAACCCTAAACAAACCTTTTAAGCTAAGGCAATGTGACCGAGTGCTTTGGGAGCTGATGGTGGGTAAACATGTGCTCATTAGGAGCTCTTCGCTACTAGGAGAAGAAGTTCGGTAGTGTTCAGGGTTTCGGGTTAAAGGTTTACCGTACTGAGAAGGTGTAAGTCGGGAAAGTATGGTTCTTACTGGTCATAACTTGACTGCGGATACTTAAAACAGCCCACATATGGTTGCCCATGAACCTCCAAGTACACTTCTCCTCGACCTCTCCCGCATTTCGCGTCCCTTTAGAGGTCCTTGCTGTGGGTCAAAGACGAAGAGTGCACAGCTTCTTCTTTGCGGGGCCGCTGAGCTGAGCGGCACCGAGTTCTCTGAAGAACCCTGCGCCAGAAAATCTCTCCGCCGCTCCTTCCAGGTATTTGGCATCTGTTCTGCCAGTGCGCTTGGCACACCTTACTGTGTGCATGCTCATTTCATACAATTATTATACTTACGTCATATGTAGTAGTATGTACAATGTTCAGGATAATCGCAGTCATGCCATATTTCATTGTACTATAGTTACTATAGTAGCTATAGTATGTGAAATGAGGACATGTTCTTTATCTCGTGCGTTTACAGCCCTTCAGTTTTTTCATTAAGGGCTACTGCCCCATGCGATCGTCCTCTCTAATATGCAACATGGCAGTGTTGACGCAGGAAACTTACACTACGAAGGGGTTTTGGGTTTCGGGCGAACCCTTTTTCACCCTAAACCGTAAACCCGAAACCCTAAACCCTAAACCCTAAGCCCTGAACGCTAAACCCTAAACCCTAAACCCTAAACCCTAAACCCTAAACCC